TCTTTGAAATATGAGACTGTAGAAACAAAAAAATGACGTCACAAAAATATTTTAATTAGAATTAAGCGCGACCAGAACATCTTTAATCTATCGTTATATTCGTAATATCCCCGTATAAACAAAGAAAGTATTTTACTGTTTAAATGTTTGTTTATATAATATCGACAATTATTTGCTGTTAAGAAGCAATTACCATATACTCCAGTGTCATAATAAAGGGTATGACGGGTTGCCAGCATCTTGGGAAATTACTATAAACGTATTACATTTGACTTTGTATTCTTTATAGCACCTAGTCGGTAAGCAGATCCCACTAACTAAATTAAAAAAAAAACACCAGTAAACGTCCTGTGTGTTTATACATAAAGTATTTAAGGAATCACTTGCTAGTTTGTTGGATAACGACAGTTGGAAATGTGGGATAATTTGCATAACGGACGAATCCTGTTTTGCAGAAATAAGCCCATGTTAAACAGGTATTCTATCAGTTTACCATGCAGGCACATATAGTATGGGGGAGGGGCTAACCCCCCCCCCTTCGGAGTTAAAGTTTTTGCTGTTAATTTAGTATGGGAATTCTCATATAACCTCCACCATCACTTTTTGTTAAAGTATAAGGCCATGTCCTCTCGTTATTGTTTGCACAAAATTTTTCATCCCCCCCCCCCCCCTCCTACAAAAAAAGTTGGTCCGATTCTGGAAAATTTTCCTTTTTTCAGGTGACCTGCTGCTATCTGTTTTCGTCCACCGTCTTGCGAGGTACATTGTGTGTCGTTCGACGGTCGTAAACTTTTGAACATTTTCAGCTTCTTTTCTTTTCTTGAACCACTGAAACAATTTCAATAAATTTTTGGCATATGTCATCAATGGGTGAAGGGGTGAAAAAAAATGTGAATTTCGTGGTCCCTGTCCCCCTGGGGCCTGAGGGGTGGGACTAAAGCCATAAAAATAATTGCTATCTTTAAAAATCGTTTGTTTTACTCCTAAACATCTAGCAGCCAAACTGTTCGCATGCTTGTAATAAGCATTTATCCCTCTACCAAAACCGTGAAATTCATGGCCCTAGAATCAGGAGTTCTTAAGTTAGGTAAGGGTTATAATGACATAGAGTGAAAATGCATATATTTTTTAAATCTTCTTTTCTCCCCCTGTTTATTTAGCAAATAAAATGGATGCAAGTTTATAAAATGCAAGGGTGCCTCTTGCATGATAATTGTGAAGGGACAGGGGTTTTGGTGGTGGTGGGGTGGGGGGTCTATTGATTATATGATGAAAATGAAGCAATTTTTTGAAAATCTTTTTCTCTGCTCCTGGTATTAAATAATCAAACTAAGTGTAGAGTCATGATGAGCAAGGGTGCCTCTTCCAAAATTGTGAATTTCTTGGACCCTGGGTCAGGGGTTCTGGTGTTACATGGGATTCTATTGATTATATAGTGAAAATGCATCCATTCTTTGAAAATCCTCTTCTCTGTTCCTTGCAGATAAACTAAGTGCATAGTTATGATGAACAAGGATGCTTCTTTCAAGATTGTGAAATTTGTGGTCCCTGGGTCAGGGGTTCAGGTGTTAGGGGTTCTAATGATTACGTAGTGAAAATGCATCATTTCTTTTTGTTTTCTCTATACTCCTGGGTATTAAATAGTTAAATTAAATATAGGTTATGATAAGCAAGTGTGCCTCGTCCATAACTGCGAATTCCATGTCCCCGGGGCCAGGGGTTCTATTGTAAGAATGGGAATGTATTGAATCTATAGTGAAAATGCCTTATTTCTTTGATTTTTTTTTCAGTATACTCCTGGTTTTAATCAGTTAAACTAAATGTTTTCCAAAATTGTGACTTCCATGGCCCCAGGGTCAGGGGTTCTATTGTAGGAGTGGGACTGTATTTTACATGGTGATAGTGAAAATGCATTATTTCTTTGAAAATCTCACTCGTTGCTCCTTGGCATCTAGGGGGCAAACAGAGCACAGAGTTGTAAAAAGCAAGGATAATTTTACCAGATTTTTGAAATTCTGAACCACTCGGTGAAGCCTTCTGGTGCTGGGGAGAGATCCATTTTGTATTCTACTGAGAAAATTATTCCCATTATGATAATTAATCACTGAAAGGTCAATTGAAGAAGAGAATTATACAAGAATTTTTATAATATATTAAAAAAAAATAATAATTTCATAGTTTTAATGGTTAGATAAACTTGTTAATTAGATAAATTAGATAAATAAAAAAAAAAACGAGACAAATTTACCTTTCCTTTGTACATTAAATTAAAATTGGTCAAAAGTTATAGTTTTTTTACATGGTGATAGTGATAAATGGGAGCAAATCAGGCAAGTTAATAGATCTACATTAAGATTTAATTGTTACTGAGTACCAAACTAATTATTTTGTTGATCCCTGATCATCCTACTTCTCTTGCTTTTGGACAACATAGTTTGTTTGCTTTTTGATTGTTTGTTGCTGTTTTTTTTTGGGGGGGGGGGAGGGTTCAAAGTCTTCTAAGGCAACTTTTCTGCCCCCCCCCCTTTGAAAAAAAAGATGTTAGGTACCTGCCATGAAATCCATAAATGTAAGTAAACGTACATGTATATTGTACGATAGATTTTAGACCCTTCATCCTGTCGTCACACGGACGTCGCAATAGCGCGTGAACAGCCGTCAGTGTAACGTCACGTACGATGAATTAAAAAAAAATCAATTTTAAAAGTGATTAAATCGGAATGTTATTTTAACATTGGTACGTATTGTTCAGGTCATATTTTATTATTTTTCAGAAGTGTCACAATAAACTTCACTCTTGATGATCGCTGTAAACTACTCTTTATGTTTTTATGTTTTTTTGATTTTGTTTTTGTTTTTTGTAAATGCTTAGAAATTCACTTTCTGTTTGCATGTATATTTCATACTATCATAAATGTAAAGAAAATTCTAACGTGCTTTATGTTAGTCATATAATCTGTTTCCGCTTTGTGCATGAACGTGTATTGCACTTTTGCTGTTTAAAGTACAAAAGGAGGTATTAAATAATAATTGCATAAATGAATGGCTTTTAATTATTAGGAAATTATTAATCGATCTCGGTAAATATTTTATTGTATTTCATGGGAATGAAATATTTCACAGTTATTTGCTTCCACATATTTCATATCCCCCCTTTTTATTTCCTTTTTGGTGCTTGACATGCAGTATCCGTGGGTGAAGGGGATTCAAATTTGTTCAAATGAAGGGCCACACCCTCTTCCAACGGGAGATAATGAAGAAATAGTGAAAATTAAGTGGGGGTAATTTAAAAATCTTTTTCTCGAGAACCACTGGGCCAGAAATGACGTAACTTATGTGAGAGCTTTTGGGGTAGTGTAAATTCAAGTTTGTTCAAATCATGACCCCCGGGGTAGGGTGGGGCCACTTTGGGAGATCAAAGTTTTAAAAAGAAATACTTCGGAAAAATCTTTAAAATTCTTCTTCTAAAGAACAGTAAAGTCATGATTAGTCATATTTATAAGGAAACATCCTCAGGTTGTGTGGATTCAATTTTCTCCAAATCGTGACCCCCAGGGGTAGGGTGGGGCCACTATGGGCAATCGAAGTTTTAAAAAGGAATACAAAGAAAAAATCTTGAAATCTTACGATTGTATATAGATTAATGATTGTAATGAGCATTTAGCCATCTACCCAAATTGTAAATTTCATGGCCCCAGTTTCATGGGTTCTAGTGCTAGAGCGGTGCTATTATAGATCACATAGTGTTGGTGCATGATTTCTTTGAAAATCTTCTTCTGTACCCTTGGGTATTAGACAAACAAATTAAATGCATAGTTATGATCCAAAATTTTGAATTTCGTGGCCCCTGGGTCAGGGGTTCTGGTGTTAGGGCGGGAGTCTATTGATATATTTAGTAAAAATGCATTAATTATTTTGGAAAATCCCCTTCTCTGCTCACGGGTATTACGTAAACAAACTAAGTGCAGGATTATGATAAACAAGGATGCTTCTTCCAAAGTTGTCATATGCGATATGTCTGATATCACAATATAGTCGTTTCAGCTTCCAGGACTGATACAGATCCTGCAGGGCTGGTATAGTGCTACAAGGTTGCATAATACGCGTCTACGGATAGTTATTAAATGTATAATACCATGCATACAGTTGTGTATATAACATGCTTGTTGGATGGCATTTTGTTGCATATATTAACACTAATAATCTACATTCTCAATGTCATTTTCGATGATTTTGAATTAGAAATTGGGGGAAATTCGACAATAGGATTTTTAATATGAAAATACCACTGATTTGTCTTTTAAATTGTATGAAACAGTAGGCATAATAGTTTTCGCTATATTAAATAACGTTTCCTCTAAATATTAGAATATATCACTGAAAATATTGTTGCACTTTTATTAAAGTAATCTTTTACTGTTCTTTAATACGAAAATTTCAACTGAAAGGCAGTTCCCCCCCCCCCCTCCCTCAACTTTTTGGTATGAGTGCGATCAAATCCTCTTGCATTTTTGTGGGTCGAAATAAAGTTTCTTTTCGAGCTTATTTTTTAATTTATTCTCTTATTTTTTCTTTCATTAAATTATTACTATTATTATTATTGTATTTATTTTATTATTATTTTTACTTTATTTATTTATTTGTAGGCATCTTTTTCTTTGCAAGGTTTTCTGGCTGACCCTATCTCCGTTAAAACTATGCTACGTATTTGTTCCTGATTAATTGCATCTGACATTTTAACAGGAGCTCAAGTAGTTAGTAGAGTTGCCAAAATTTCCATATGACATGAAAAATGTTTGATCCACCACCAATATAATGATATTTTTCAGTGCGGACCTGCTATTTGGTGTTTCCGGCAGTCTACACACATTTCGGCAAATTTCCACGGTTGTGATATTATCTTATGAAGATTGGTATTGCTGTGAATAAAAGGTAAAGCATGGCATCCTTGAAATAGAGCGAACTATTGACTAATATTTTGCCCAAGTTCCCCGGCCTGTTTAGCGCATGCGTAAGTGTGGCCATATTAGAAGTAGGGAAAAAAGAAAAACGAAAGAATTTGAGGGTTGACCAAAACATTGGACTAGGAAAGTGAGAATTATCCATAAAAAGTAATTATGAGCAATTGTGTCAAAATGTCATAACTTTATAGTGCATCACATGGATTTACTGATTTGAATATGATGAATAGACAGAATAGGGACCCGTCTAATTTTGGATGATGTCCACTCCTGTGTGTATTTTATGTGTTTATTTGCTTAGGCAGAGGTGTGGATATTTTAACGGATGTTGGTCATGCTATTATGATTAGAAAGGACAATGGGATACGTAAACAGATCATTTGAAATGCTAATTGTTACTATAAATACACACATCAACCTCTCCCAACCCAGAGGGAAAGCTTGCCCTAAGGAAGTGTAACCTCTGCATGTTGTCGGGTTTATTGAGCTTGGTGCAGTCAGATCTACACATGTCATTTTTTTCTCCTACTGTCAACTTTATTTATAATGCAGATGATTACATGTTTCTTCTTGCCTTAATCATAAAGTTAACATATGATGTTTTTTTGAGGTACTAGTATTGGTATGTTGTGAACTGTGTGAAAGAAAGACTGAATAGGTAGATTTCTTAGCCAGTAATATTAAACTTGTTCAAATTTATGTTGCATCTTGATAAGAAAAAGTTTAAGAAAACCCCATGTTAGGAATTTTACACAATTTGATCATATTTTGAAAAAAAAAAAAACAAGTTCATTTTTGGATATCATCTTTGATCTCACAAAGATCGCAATGAATTTAGGGTCCCAGTTCAGCTTTTCTCCCATTGAAAAGTTAAGCAAATTTACTCTAGATCTCGTCAGTTCTTTTGTCTTGAAACCCATAATCTCTCAAAGTATTTTCCAAGTCCTCTTCTGTAAAATGCCTTATTTTCACTCTTGATCACTCAAATCTTCAGGTAATTATATATCTTTTTTTTTTATTCTGAGTGTTTTAGTCATAATTATTGATGTGTGAATCCTTATCTATAAATCATGAAGGAAGCACTTTTGTTTATATAATAATTATTTTTTATAAGAATCTGTATATTTATTGAAATTAATATTTCTGAAAAATTGACAAAGGAAATATAAATAGCCTAATGAAAATCAGATATATCAATTGATAACCAGCAGAATAAAGATGCAGATTTTGACTTCTTGATCTGTTGGACTATCAGTGTCACAAAGTTCTTTAGGGGTCCCTTGAATTTTGAACTTTTGTGAATCACTTGTATTATTGTACTATTTGCAAATGAATAATTTCATCCTTAGTTTAGTAAACGGATGAAAATAACATGCCTTATTCAGTCAGGGGTGAGACTGAAATCCGTCATTTTTAAAATGACAATTTTTAGTCATAAAATAAAATTTTTATTATGATTTAAATTCGTCATTTTTAAGAAAATGATGAAAAACAGTCATAAAAATTTAGAGTGTTTCTAGAATACCGAGTTACCTCTCTTTGAAAAATGTTAGATCCACCAACCGAAAAAAGGACAAAAAACATTGTAAACAAACTTCATTTCTCTAATACAGGTGACTACAATACTGGTTATGTTGACAGTACAAATTTCCCAAGCAAAAATAAGAGTGGAAGAGTTATTTGTCAATTTATTTGCATTAAATAGGAAAGAAGACAAAAATGACAATATTCCATCTTTTTTCAAAATGGAGGGTCTGGGTGCACTGAAATATCTCGCATTTTTTACGGGGTGCACTTCTTTTTTATGGCTTTAACTTTTTGTCGAGACTTTTCTCTACAAGTACGTTTTTCTTCCAGACGGCGTACTATATGTTTTTATAGGGCTAAAAGCCATGTAAAAATGGCAAATTAGTTCTACCAAAATTCGACATTTTACCGCTAAATAATAACTTTCACCTTCCATGTTGATGTTCTAACGCACGTGGTCAGCAGTAATTAGTGACCTGGATGAAATGAAACTTGCGTAAACACTCTTCTTTCAGCGGTAAATTCAAATTTTGCTTTTATGTAACCAGGTTAGAAGAATTAAGTTGAAAAAGAAAATATGACGATAGTAAGTCATATTGACAAAAATGAAGAAAATACGTAGTTAGTAAATATGACGATTATCCATCATTTTTCAGAAATGACGGATTTCAGTCTCACCCCTGACTGTTATTCTTTGATATACAATTATTTGCCATTTTGTTTTTATTGTAAGAACTTATAGCACCCTACCATTCTTTGCAATTAATTTGTTAAAATTCATGTTATTAATATTTTAATTTTTATTCATTTTTAGTGTAAACCCTATAAATCTCTTGCCATATAATAATATCATGTGGAAGCTGGAAAATATGTAAGATATGTAGAAAAAATAACAGAGAACCATGCCGTCTTTACCACGCCCTGGTCAGCTCAAGGACCCAGAGGTTGCTGCATTGTTTTCTCAAGAAGACCCAGAACGTATATTTTATGACCTTAGAGAAATCGGCCATGGCAGCTTTGGAGCAGTTTACTATGTAAGTAGAAGAAGGATGTTTTCATTGTCATGAACATAGTTTTCCATACAGCACTTGATCAGCGAGTATTTTATTTTACATGACAAAGATAAGACATGATAGACTATGGGCAAGTGATTTTGACTTGTCCAAATGCAAAACTTGTCCAAAATTAAGAAAGAAGAAATTAAAATGTATTACTTTAAATGCTATGATAAGAAAAAGTGTGACCAAGTACACTACTGTCTATTTTGCAAGTTGAGCTACCAGAGTTTCAAGGCTACGTTTGTACATAAATGTATACCACTGTCCTTGCCAATTTAAATTTTAAACATTCTTAATTGTTTTTTTTTAATTTTGATTAGAGCCAGTGGACCATTGATTAGAAACATAAAAAGTATAGATTTGCCAAATAGATTGAAACAAAGTTTTGTATTTGGTTTGACAGTGGTTTAATATGATTTTTGCAGTGTTAGTGGTACAGTTTATGTATATATGAAAATTTTAAGTAAATAATAATAAGCAATATCTTTTTAATTGCAGGCTAAAAATAAGATCACAAAAGAAATTGTGGCCATCAAAAAGATGTCCTACAGTGGAAAGCAAGCTGCTGAGGTAAACTTTATAAGCAAGAATCTAAATCTCATAATAGATGTATGTTTCCTTTGTTATTATGGTATGTACCTATGATGAAAATAACCGGTAGGGGTAGGGTGGGTCCACATTAGGCAATCAAAGCCTTACATGGGAATATATAGGAATTTTTTTTTTATTTAAGAACACCCAAGCCATGATTATTAGTCATATTAATATGGAAACAAGTTTGTCAAATTATCCTCCCCCCTCCTTGGTATAGGGTGGGACCACATATATATATATATATATATATATATATATATATATATATATATATATATATATATATATATATATATCTATATGTTTAAGGTAACTTTTCAGTACTGAACTGATTTATTTTCTCTAACCAAAGTGCTCAGGTGAGCAATGTTGCCCTTGTGTCCCTTGTTTATTATGCAATACCAAATTTAGAGTATTAACTAGAAAATTTCAAATACTTTACAAGTACAGTATGTTGATTCAAGTACATTTGATATAATTCTTGTATATGAACATGAATCTTACATATTTACCATTGTCACAGTGTAGGAATAGAATATTGTAATTTATTGTGATGTGGTTATTGGTATGGATAGCACTCTGCACATCCACATAATTTAAGGTCAAGGTTACATATTCTATACTAAAGTAACTGAATCTTAATATGCTTGTCAATGAATAATATATTGTTGACAAAATGGAATTTACAGATTACTGGATGGATATTGCAAGTTATTTTTAAGAACTTTAGTAAAACAAAGTAAACATGGTAAATAGGAATTAAGATTTAAGTTCGTTTGTACTGACACCCACTTCCTACTTAATATCCTTCATCCGTTCATGATAAATAGAGATGGCATGCCATTGATATTATTCATTCAACATCAGTATCAGCATGATGAAACAGATATTTATTGATAAAAAATTCATTTTATTCCAACATTTAAAAAAAAAAAGTTTTTATATGGAATCCCTGGTATTGACTAAAAGAGTTTAATGCAAATTTTATACATGTATACACTTTATAGAGAGAAACAGTCTTTATCCAGTGTTCCTTTTAAAAAAAAAATAAATTGATCAAAAGTAGAACATGTAGAATGAAATTGAATTATCATGCCCACATTTTTTGGCCAATAAACTGGCACAAGTATATATTATTTAACTTCACAGGGTTACAAAAGTTTTTGATATAGCTTATTAGTTGGTTTTATGCTGGAATATTCCTTAAATGTTTATTTTACAGCATTCAAAGTAATGGATAATGATAAAAGGAAATCTTTTATACCTCCATCAGTTTGACAAGTAGAGAATTTCATCATAAAAAATTGTACTGTCGAACATTCGTGCAAGAAGATATGTATTTGAAACAAATATTTTTATTCTTTAAATTAATGCAAAAATTTACTCCAGTATATTTAATTAGGTTTTAGTTCATAAATATTTGAGTAAGTTAATTCCATGATTGATATGTAATATGTTATAAATGTTTAATTCTTGCATATATATTACATCCTTATTCTGTTTCATTAATTCCAACAGAAATGGCAAGATATTATCAAGGAGGTGACATTTCTGTGTTCAACCAAAAATGACCACACAATCAGTTACAAGGGCTGCTACCTGAGGGAGCACACAGCCTGGGTAAGGGGAGATGTTTATGTTTACATTAATGGAGCATTGTCACTGTTAATATAGGAAACATCCCATTAAGATCAATACTGATACAGAAGTAATGTTTCATTATCATGATTATATTTATTGATCTGAAGTTGTATTATTAGGTAAAATTTAGTATTTGATCCAGGTACATGTAGTTGTATCATTTCTTACTTGCAACATAATGAAGAGATTTCAGTTGACAAGTCAACAATAAAAAAAAACTTGTTCTTTCAAAAATCTTTCAGAAGTGTGTTGTATACAAGTAACTGTTATATTTTTTTTAAAATATGTACTACCTAATTGAATAAATGATTTATTTCACAGCTGGTAATGGAGTATTGCCTAGGTTCAGCCTCAGATATTGTAGAAGGTGTGTACTGATATGTTCTTTATGTATTATAATGCAAAACTGTTAAGCATAGTATAAGATCTTTGGGAAAAAATAATGATAATAAAACAAAACATACCAAACAAATATGTCAAATAAAATATAATTAAATAGAAAAATGGTTAGTTAAGAAAATTAAGTGAAACAAAACATTTTCGCAAAACCAGTTACATGCTTAATAAGCGTAAAAGTAAATTCAAACTATTAGGTGTCTGCCTGTTAACTGTCTTGTCACAAATTGTGTTTGACCTTTGATGTTTATATATGTATGCATATATATTCCTTTTGACAAGAACTTTGTTTGTGAACTAACAATTTTGACTTCTTTGTCTTGACATTGGAGTTTGATCTTGGAGTTTGACCTACTTGTGAAAAACTTAAAATTAACTTTAACTTTGGCCATGGCTTTTGAATAGTTGAAATGTGTATTTCTTATGGCAAGACCTTTTTTTTGGTACCACTAGTTTTTACATCATGACCTTGGCCTTTTAGTTTGACCTATTTTTGTAAAACTTGGCCATAACTTTTGAATGGTTAGTGCTAATGCATTCATATTTCACATGTATATTCCTTGCAACATGACCTTTCTTTTGGCTGCCAACAATTCTGACCTTATGACCTTTTCCTTGGCATTTGACCTACATGTATTTAAAAAAAAAACATTAACCTTGGCCATAACTTTTGAAATGTTGGTGGTAGGGCTTCCATATTTCACTTGTGTATTCCTTGTGGCAAAACTTTTTCGGGTACCGACATTTTTGACATCATGACCTTGACCTTGGAGTTTGACCTACTTTTGAAACTTTTTCGGGTACTGACATTTTTGACTTCATGACCTTGACCTTGGAGTTTGACCTACTTTTGAAAAACTTAAGCATAAAACTTAAGCATTGGCCATGCCTTGGCTTATGGCGGTCATCAGTGTTTCACAAACTCATCTGTTATTATTTTTTTTTTTTTTAAATTTAAGTCCACAAAAAAGCCTTAAAAGAGGTGGAGATTTCTGCCATTTGTCATGATGCTTTACAAGGATTATCCTACTTACACAGTCAAGGAAAAATCCACAGAGATGTCAAAGCTGGCAACATTTTACTCACTGAAAGTGGCATTGTGAAGCTAGGTAATGCTTACTTATTTGCCTCAATAAAACTGGATAATTCAGTAACAGACATTTTCCCTTTTTTGCTTTTCAACCATTCACAGATTGAAAATCATGAAATCACCACTGCTTTTTATTTGGAAGGATGTCAGACTTAATAAATTTCGATAATCTGTGTTAACACTTGGTGTTTTTGCAGCTGATTTTGGTTCAGCATCCATGGTGTGTCCCGCTAACTCATTTGTTGGGACTCCATATTGGATGGCACCTGAGGTCATACTGGCCATGGACGAGGGTCAGTATGATGGGAAAGCGGACATCTGGTCATTAGGCATCACATGTATAGAACTGGGTAAATATTTTTATGATTTTGTCTTTTATTGAATCATCACTAATGCCTGACTGTGTAGTAAAAGTAACACTTCTTTCATTCTATATCATTTAAAATAAAAAAAAATGGCCAAGGAAAAGAGGAAGTTAGAAAAAAAAAAATTAGAAATGCATGAAATATTGAAATATTTCAGAATAAAAAGTACATTGTTTGCCACTCTTTCTAGATGAAATGTAAAAAATAAGTGCAAAATGTTGTGTTTGTGTTTCAGCTGAGCGTAAGCCACCATTGTTTAACATGAATGCAATGAGTGCTTTGTACCACATAGCACAGAATGATCCCCCGACGTTAGCTGGGGGAGAATGGTCCGACGACTTCCGGAGCTTTGTTGATTCCTGCCTTGCCAAATCTTCCTGTGATAGACCTTCTGCAGATAAACAATTACAAGTTAGTGTTTCTTAAAGCTTTATTTATATTGATAAATATTTACCAACTTGGGTCCATAAAACAAAGAAATTTCGGCATGAATATCGAAATATTTAAACAAAGAGGAAAAAGCTGTTTCATAACAAAATACATCTGAGTGGTGTTTGAAGAAATGAAGTGTATTTTGATATCCAAAAGAAGAATAAGAATTTTTTTCACATCAAATTCAGTTTAAATGGTGACTAAAAATCATTCACTCTGATATCTGATAAATATGTCAGACTTGTCAAAATATTTATACAAAATGGTGTCTCGTTTTCAGCATATATTTATAACGAGGTCCAGGCCTGGTAATGTCATACTGGACTTAATCCAAAGAACAAAAGATGCTGTGAGAAAGCTGGATCATCTACAGTATCGTCGCATGAAGAAGCTGTTAATGGTAGAAGATATCGAGGGAGATTTAGAGAGCAATGGTCCTGATGACAACATCTCCACAGATGAAAACTCGCAGGTAAATGTCTGATAATGATCATATAGAAATACAGCTGATTAATCTTTACCTGTATTTTGCGTCCAATCATATGATTATTCACGGTTGAGAGACATCTTTGGGGTGTATGCCATGGGTTTCATATTTGTTGATCTTGACATAGTTAATACTGAAGAAGCATCTTAAACTTCGGCAGTAAACAAAACAAAGAGATAAAGGATATGAATATTAAACTGTGAGTGGCATTTGTGTGTTTTCAGGATGATGAGAACATTGACAGTAGTAAATCCAGCAGTATTGCCAGTCATCAGAGTGGTGTTAGCACCAGCAGTAAGTCAAGCTCACAGAACAGTCTACAGACAGCCCCCAGCGAGGAACCAGGCTTTACTAACTTCCGACATTCATCAGTATGTACACCCTAATCTTGTGTATTTAAAATCCACCACAGAATTAAATTACCTGTCAAGCTAGAAGTCAGAGGAAAACTGAAATTATAGTGTAGAAATTATAGTAGAATTTTTGTGGGTAATGTCAATTCTTTTAGAAAGATTCAAAAGACAGGTATGATAGAAAATTCTTAAGAGACAGTGGTGATAAAGAAAAATATTTGCACTTAAAATTACAGTAATATGATATTTTGTGTTGAGGGAAAGTATTCTGAATGGATCTTCATTTCATATAAAATACATGTGACCTTTGCAGATATCCCAGGCCAGTGGTCGTAGTGAACCAGACACCAATAATTTTGCCACAATACGTCCTACATCTATAGTTACAAAACAGTTCAAAGAACATGAGCAGAGCAATGAACTGAAGGAGCAGTTCACTGGGTACAAGAGAATGAGGAAGCAGCACCAAAAGCAGCTTAAACAGGTGGGTAATTCTCCATGTTAAAGATTCAATGCAATGTTTAAAAAAGATAATGACTGTTGCTCAAAGGTTATTTTGCTACACATACATTCCATAAAGATACATGAAGAATTTTGAATAATTATTCTGGCAGACATGAGAAAGAGAGTCATGATGCTTAATAAGTAATTGTAAGAACATTGTATCATAGGAAACATAATAAACTTAGGTAACAAGTACCGGTGTAAAATAAAAAAAAAATTGAATGCAGAAAGGTTTGTCAAGTTTTAGGGAATACATTAATATGTACATGTACCTATTATGTCTTTTATGTTGAAGTAGAAAAAGCAAGTTTGACTTGAAGTGTCAGAATATCTAATGAAAAATGGCTGGAATTCAGGTACAGTGGCGCCTCATTTATCCGGACGCCTCTGTCCCCAACGAAATCGTCCGGATAAATGAATCGTCCGGATAATTGAATCACATCTGAAAAAGCACTCTCTAAGCATGTATATATGCACATTTTTGTTTCAAATGTGACAGCAAAGAAAAAAAAATTAAATTACATTTTGGTTAATTGTTTTAAAAGCAGTAATTGATTAATGAAAAAAATATATTAAAATGTAATTTACACAATTAAAAAAAATGGATGGGCAATTTTATGCCGAAACCTCCTTTTTTAATTTGCCTTCTCTTTGGCTTGTGACTTCATGGGTTGAGCAAATTTTGATCTATTGTTGTTTTATTTCGCCATATTTTGTAATTATTAAAGCTCATATGATATGACAGAACTGTTCAGCATCATCATTGAAAATGTTCAAATATAAGCTAACCCTGTATATTCCCCGTATATTCATTACACAGGGTTACTATAAAATTAACTGAACACTGCAAGCTAACTCAAACAAAGTATTAAAAACATTCGTAAACACAAACCATTTTCATGATTATCAAAATTATCTTTTTCTACAGGCGATAAGTTTGAATTTTGATCATCAAAAAATACCTTGAAAAACATAATCAACTTCTGGACGTTTGTAAACGGTAGTACATTTGTTACATTAAAAGTTTAGACTTTATCAAGTTACAAAAGTGTGTGTGAAACATTAAAGAGAGATATTTCTTCAATTATGTACCTTTCTGTCCTGTGGGGGAAAAAAAAGCGTTTCAAATACATTTACGTTTTTTGAGAAATGGAACATCGTAATTTAAACTAACGCAGTCGACATGATAAAGAGCATTACGAAATCGCTCGTTATTTATCGTTCATTTTATTTACAACTCTCCAAAATTCTCCTGAGTTTACCGATGTATATACGGTTAGCAATATGATTTTGAACGGATTATTATTTAATTAATACACAGTGTCAGCTAACTTCTTTGAGCTTCATAATAAAGATAAACGTGTGATTAAATTGGGGTAAACACACGCTAATTATAGACGCTATTGTTTGTAGGTCACAAGTAACCGCCTTCAAACTGACTGCATGGCCAATGTTTTTACAACAATTAACACGAATGCAAGATAAGTGTGAAAATGTCGTTTACTTAAAAAATTACCGTCCGGATAAACGAGTCATTTTTCAATGAACTATTATGGTTTGTAGTAGAAATTGACCGTCCGGATACGGAACGCGAATTTCCGGATTAATGAGACACAATAACGTGGAAAAAAATCGGTTCCCAAAAAAATATCGTCCGGATGGTGAAGCGTCCGGATAAATGGCGTCCGGATAAACGCGGCGCCACTGTATATCAATGTTTTACTTATGTTTGTATCTTTGTAGATGGAGGCTAAATTTGCAGCAGAAATGGAAGAGCACAAAGTGAAACTTGACAAGGAATATGATGCTGTCAAACAGAACTTTGCTGCAGAAATAGATAAATTACGCAGGAAACATACTGCTGATATAGAAAAGAAGGTATTACAGTTGATTTGCAATCATGTGAATTGAAGCTATTGCAATTATAGTTCAATTATTACTCTTAATCTTTATAGGACTTTAATGTGCAAAATTAAATACATGTGGTTGTAAATAGCCCTGAAGGTACCATTAGATATCTCAAATAATCTTATGACAACTTTCATCTGAACCATGTTCTGATTAAAGGATAACTTCACATTGGTTCAAATAGAAATTTTCTTGTACTGTATATTTCAAAAAGATACACAGTATATTGGTTTAGTTACTGAATATTTTTTGTTATAGTCAAACACAGCTTCAACAAAAGGAATAGGATTTTACACCAAAAATTCACTTGTTTGCTGATAACTCATTCACCATCAAAACGGAATAGACTATCAGATAAATAATGTCGGATTCATTTCAGAATAAGACACATCAAGCCATGGAAGCCAAGCTAGCTAAGCAGATACGACAGCAACAGGAGACGGAGAGAAAGAGTTTTACCAATTTCCAGAAGAGGGAATACAAAGTCACTAAAGAACAGATGAAAAAGGTAGGCTCAGCAGCATCTGATGCCTCTCCACAAGGATGATGTGTACGAGTAACTGTAATGCAGTGATATTTTAATGTTATTGTACCATTTGAGAAACAGGGAAGACAAAAATATAGCTTTATCTCCTCAAAATCAAAAAAAAAAAAGTGTCATTCGTTGTTGTTTGCCAAATAGGTTTAGTTTTTTTGGAAATGACTTTTTATCACATTATATTTTCATAAACAATTTATACATAGTGGTTAAAAATTAAAGAGAAACCATCCAATTATAATAATAAATTTCTATTCACTTCAAGAAATAAATAATATGTTAAATTTATCAATAACAAAAAAAAAATAGCCTGATTTTTAAAATTCAATTTTCCAATGTAGGAAATTGACAATAACACACCAAAGAAGGAACGAGATGATACATTAAGAGCGCACAAAGATCGACTCCAGCAGCGTCAAAAAGAGGCTGAGGAGAGACAAGCCAAGACACATAAAGAGGCAATGGAGTTTGAACTTCGCAAATTTAAGAGACGGAAACTTTTATCCATGCATAAGTTGATGCAGGATCAACTCAGGGATGTAAGTGTCTATGTCTGTCTGATAATAGGCTAAGGATAGTTGGAATATTTCTTTTTGTTTATGATGTAAAAATCATTTAACAAGGTATTCATATTGCTTATTTGGGTTTATTTCAATTTCATATACAATGCATTTAGTTATAACTTGTTTGAATACATTGCAAGAAAATATATCAGGGATGTTTACTTTTTTTCTGCAGCTATTGAATAAACAACAGACTCAGTTAGAATTTGAGCACAATATGTTAATTTCACACCACGAATCAACTCAGGATTTAGAATATAAACAAATAACTGCTATTCAAAAAATGAAGGATGATCACTTAAAAAAGCAACACCATACAGAGAAAGAAAACCAGAAAGAATACAACGCCAAGGAGGAACAGCAGTTAAGGAAAAAACATGCTTTAGAACACAAACAACAGCCTAGGAGTCTGAAGGTAGGGGTTGTGGAAGTTATTAAAAAAAATACAAAGTTTGTCAATTTAAGATAAGAATTACAATAAAATTGCTAATGATCTTGGTTTCTGAAAAAGAAATAGATATACATGTATGTAAATCTCTTTTTATTTTGCAAGAACTTAAGTTTTGCTTATTACACAAGATTGCCTGCTAGCAAAAATTTTCATTCTCACAGATACATGTATTTGTATTATGAAATATATACAGCAATAAAAAAAAAATTGGATAAAATTTTGTTCTCCCTTATACATGTAAATACTAAATTACTATCTAGAGAAAACAAGATGTCATGAAAATTAAGTGATCTACAGTCCTTTTCATGTAAATGTCACTTAAATCTGTTTAAAAGCTGTTTAAGTTTTCAGTCATTTATATATATATATATATATATACACATGTATATATACCATAAGTTTTGGGGTATATGTCGATGGGGTGTATAGGTCGACAGGCTCATTTTCAGCCGTATTTTTTAGAAAATCCTTAGATAGGACGAATTTGGAAGATAGGACGAGGCTTTGTTTATCGATTTCTAGAGATTCTTACATAGATACATGTACTACATATCAGAACATGTAAACCTCTTTAACTTAACCCGTGATATTAACGTATTGAGAAAATAAACTAGTATTTTTATGAGTACAGTATTTTAATAGTGTTTTATACAAACGTAGTTAAAACTTTCTTGAATTGTGATATAACGTATTTTCTCCAACTTGCCTGTTCAATGCAGTCGTAGTTTGACTCTGTCGTTAAACACATAAATATGATAGTATAAAACAGCTATAATTAGGTAAATACCCGAAATCAAACAATAATCATTTCCATTTTAGAACATCGTGGACACATTCTTTTATTCCAACATTATTTATTGGGGTAAAAAATTAACTTCGATGA